GAGGAGGAGGAGGAGGAGGAGGAGGAAGGGGATGTTTCGAGAAAATCCGAAATATTTCTGTTGAAATTAGACACTGGTCTAGTGAAAAGTTCTACCTTCTATCACAACATACTTTTCATGAAACTGCTAAACCATCTTATAGTACAAACTATCTGATCCAATTGCTGATTGCATATCTCTGTTCGTGCGATTGTCTGATACGAACAGCCTAAACGTGCTCAGAGCGTAAAATAATCCTCCTCGTGCATTTGCAGCTGTTTGAACGTATTCAAAACTTACCTTCTTTGTCATCTCCAGTTATGTCCAACGACAACTTTGGCTATACTGAAACCTTTTTAGCGTTGCAAGAATGGCGTGAGACGTGTGCACTGAACATAAGGCAAATCGGCTTCCCCGAACTCATTTCAAGGCCTCAGTTTTCTAAACATAGTTCGTAAAAATAACAGGCTATCAGTTTCCTCACCCCGCCCAAAATAAATAAATAAATAAATAAATAAATAAATAAATACATTAAAAAAATATAATGTTTATATTTAAACCCCGAAGCAAGCAACAAAAAAGCAGTCTGAACCAGTTACTAAGCCAGGTGCAACCACGCAAAATCATACGATCTTTTTTTAATTTGCAGACGAGTCCATACAAATAACTCAAAACACTGTCCCAAAGCAAAATTCCAAGCCTTTTTGTCAGTAATGAGGGTAATTACTACAGACTTAATGGCAAATGCGGCTTGCTGCTTGTTGCAAACACGTCTGTGTTTGTATTTCAAGGCGTGCGATTGCTTCATTAGCGCGGAAGAAACTCTTTACTTTTGTAATGCATCTGGTAAATAATGCCAACTTTGTAAACGTCAAACGGTTCTGCCACTTTGATTAGTCATGGTAGCGCACCTAGCAAAGACCATCATTTCTCAACACATTTCGATGACACACTAGCGCTCCACCACTTTCAACCGCAACAAGTCGTGTCGTGTTGTGCTGTTTCTTGCCCCTTTCAGATAAACCCAACGGTGGACCAATAATTGTCTATTAAAATATTTTGTTCATTATTCTCTTCAGTATCTTATCGGGTGAACTCGTAAGTAAATTATGATCCCAGTGAGGTCAGGTAAGGTGGGTGAATGTTTTCTACACTAATCGGAAACTGATTAGGTGGCATCGACGGTCTGATGATTTTTTAGCCAACTTTGCATTTTTTCTACCTTCATTACAGTGGCAAGCATAAACTTTATTTGTGTCAAGCACCGAGAGTGATAATGCGCTATCATAACATTCTATTTTTTTTGTTTACGACGCTCGAAATGTTCGAGAAAATTTGAGCAAATCTACAGATTGTCTTATCAGCCTCTCCATCCTTAAGTCCCCGCACTCCTCTTTAATCATACACCGCAATCTCTCAACAGATAATCGAGCTAAGCGCCCGCAGTGATTAATCGAACATCGAACTATTGACCCTGCAAGGTGAGGGACTGGTCTGACCTGAACGATTCGATGAGTTGAGGCTCAATGGGTGTGTTTATGTGTGCATGTTTTTTGTGCGTGAATGTTTATGTTTGTGTGTTCGTTTGTGTGCATGCGTGCGTGTGTGTCACAAGTATTTGTGTGCGTGTGTGTGTGTGTGTGTGTGTGAGTGTGTGTGTGTGTGTGTGT